TGAAACTCCTCAAAGCTTGTTGAAACTCCTCCATAAACCAGCCTACCTGGCGTCATCCAGATGTTTTGACACTGCCATTCTCAGAATTCTCAGCTAGCTGCCTGGAGTACTTTGAACACTGCAGTCCCAACTGATGTAGAAGGTCAGTGTGAATACCCTTTAGAATTTCTTTCCACTTCCTTTTCTCTACTGGCAAAGTAAAGGCAGTGAGCGGCTGCAAAGCATATTTTCTTCACCTTCCCAGTAATACTGAACATGAAAACAGCCCACTATTGTAACTGGAAGTTGCAGAGTGACAGTTGTAGCAAAGAATAAGCTAAGCCATGCCTTAACATTCAAGCAGCTAATTGACTCTGCCACTGTATTTTAGTTTGTATTTGGACTGAAGAATGAGAAGTGTTACGTGGCTGAACAGTCCAGCTGTAAAGTATTTGAACTACTTACCAAGAATGGTATTCACTGTGTAAATTATTTTTTCCCTTTCCTATATCTAGATAAGAAACCATTTGCAAAGCACAAGTAGTTATAGGTCACAAGTGGTTGCTGAGAGACAGAGATGAAAATAATTCCACTTACATAATGTTCTTAATCTATTGGCTATTGTGGTTTCCTATTGGCTAAGCTAATTGCTTAGGACTGCTTCTCTGGATTCAGTGATGTAAGACATGTTTTTGTAGGAAAGAAATCCTGTCAGTCAAGATTATCCCATGAATGATGGAGAGCTTTCAGAGTAGGACTCCAGGCCATGATGGGTGTTCCCAGATTGGGAATATGTATGTGGTCCCTCCTCTGTTCTGAAATCCTTCCAGTGCTGAGAGCGTATTGAGAAATACTTTGGGGCATGTTTATTGACAATAAAGAAACAGTCGCTCCTTCTAATCTGATTGTAAATTTATTGCACAACTGAATTGGAGCCAGCATTTCTTCATACTATATAGCACTGGATAATCTTATTTGTTACTTTCTACATTGGCAGGAGGAAGGGAGAAAAAAGAAGAAAAGGAAAATCCTACCACTAGTCTTGCATTGTTACACAGGAAGATTTGTGTTCTTTGTATTTTCTAGAAATCATCTGGAATAATAAATGATACACAAGTAAACCTTCAGAACATGTTCAGAATTACCATACAGTTCTGTCCTCATCCAAGTACTCTTGCTCCCAGGACAACACAGCTGAAACAACAACCCTAAATTTATAAGCTGTTAATTCATACAGCATATTAAGATGCAGTCCTGGGCATCCTTACAGAGAATTCCATGACAGCTATGTAGGGTAATAGCCCACAGACTGACCAGCCAATGAGGAAGACCTCAGATGAACTTGGATGATACGCCATGTGGCGTAAGCAAATGGAGGATATTAGGGAAGTAGACTATCTTGCTAGTGACCTCTTCCTTATTTGCAGGATGGGTATAATACTCCTGATCCTAATTCACATGGTTGGGGGATGGAGTGTTGAGTTGGACTCTGTGTGAGAGGCAGAGATTTCCAGACTAAGAAGGCCACAAGGAGCACAGCAATAACATCATGACGTCATGTCATCAAGAGGGATGGTGTCCAAACACTTTGGCTCACATATCTGTGTTGGGAGGGAGACAGTGGTAGGAGATTTAGAGCAAAATAAAATATGTTAACCTATTATTTTTTAAAGAAAAGAGAAAAGTCTCAGGGGTTCTGGGCACCCTTAAAACTGGCCCAGGACATTGTAGCAGTATATAGGCAGGAGGTGGGTTACTCACCCTTGGAATATTTAAATGAGAAAGTCTGAAATTCAGAAAGGTACTCTTAATAAATATCCATTATTATTAAATACCATCCAATGACATCCTTGCAACGCACACATTAAAATGCTGTGTTTCCTTCATTTCGTAAGTCCATATGTTCCTTTTTCCTGATCAGTCTCTGTACCTTTCCCATGCCTGTCAAGCTGCCATTTCCCCCACAGGGATAATGCACAGACACCATACGGTTGCTTGGTTGATTATAATACATGCCAAATTTGCCAGAGACCCAATTTTAATCAGGAAGAATGGAATGGGATGCAAAAAATCCAGCTGATGCCTTTTTCTGAAGCAAATCGACTTTTTCTTCTCTTTTTAAGTGGGAGATCCTGATCACATACGTATAACTTGCAGAAATTTTTGGAATGCAGTTTTAATCATGTATTTATTATTGCACTGCGACATAGTGCTTGCCCTACTGAAAACCTTGAGCTTCCTCATCTGAAATATAGATGTAAATGCAAATTCTAGTTATTTGACTCATCTGATTCTTGTTGCTAGCAAGACACCCATCAAATAATGCATTTGTTTGGAACTAATCACAGGTGATTTTATCAGGTGACCAGCTAGTTCCAACCTTCCTTGCCAACTGGCATTGCTATCTCACTTTTCTTTCTCTTAGTTCTTTCTCTGCCCCCCATCCTTGTTTCCGGGCCATTTATGTTGGCTGTTGCTTTCCTCGATAACATTCCTTCTCAGTCTTCTTTTTTCCAGGTATGCCATCCATAACAGCCTTTGCCTCTCTCTTTATGGATACAGGGCCAGTTGGATACACAGCCAATTTAGCCATAAAGAGAAAGTAGGCAGTTGCCCAGGAAGCCAAAAATCCAAAATGTTTTGGGCAAAGAACAACTGCCCACACTTTGAGGAGCAAGGATACAGGGGCAAATTAAGTCTGAAGAGTCTTCTGATCCCCATTAGCTGCTTAGATCTGAAATGAAGGTGGAGCCTCAAATAATAGCTGCTGTTTTATGGAAGCACTGATGCCTCCTTAAAGCAGTGTTATTCTTCCCGTGTGTTTGTTGGGAAAAAGAGATCTTGGAGACTTTGTCCAAAATGAAAGTTGGAAGGTTCTGCAAACATGGTTAGTAGCAGCCTATCTCTAGATGTATCTGTATGTATTTTTTTCTTTCAATTTATACCTGCCTTTCCAATCATGGACTGTTGGTGGTAGCTATAACATTAAAAGGAATGGAAATACAAAAAAGATTTTACAAATCGAATTACTGACAAGATACCCCTTTATATACTTTTTTCATGAAACAGAAAAAAATGCACATATGACTTCTGGTTTTGATGATTAGAAAAAAAAAATGGATAATAGAAAAAAGTGAGCTTTTTTTGTAATCATAGAGTAAGAGATAATTATGTAATTATACTTATATTTGCTGCAGAGAAAATCAGAAGCTTCTTTCTATTTCTTTTTATTCTTTCTCACTACACTTTTGCTTTTATTTTTTAATTCCTGTCTTTTTTTCTTTGTTCTCTCTATTTTGTATTAGTTGGTGTTAGTTTCTATGTTCTCTTTAAAACTTTTAATAACATTTAATTAAAAAAAAGATACTGACAAGATACATTTGAATGAGGTGGTATACAAATTTATTCCATAAATAAATAAAATTAAAATATTTGGATATGAAAGTGATTGACATTTAAATATCTGGCTGCAGTAATGTATTTTAACTGCTCTCCTAAAAGCAAAGGGGTGGGGGGGAGAACCCAGTGCAGTTCTGGAGGACTGTTACTCAGTCTCTCCTGCTGATCTTAATGTTCAGTAAATTCATACTGAAATTCAGACTAGAAGAGGCAGTTCCTCAGCCAGGAATAAGCCATTCAAAACTTTAGAGATTATCTCCAATACCTTAAATTGTGCCCAGAAAGAAATTCTACAGATACAGATGTAGATCAACAGGCCCATCAGATGATCCTGATATTATGCACCAGTTAGCATCCTCACTTCTGCATTTTGCACTGATTGAAGCTTCTTGTTTTGTAACAAGGACCCACATGGGATGCACTGTGATAGTTAGATTGTAAAGATTGTAATGTAATTGAAGTATGGATGCAATTTGCTGAATCTCACCATGAATTCCTAGTGACAAGGCTAATGGGCCAAAGGCTTTAATAACTAAGGGCGGGGGGGGGGACAGAAAGGGGAAAAAAAGTCCTTCAAAAATAATACATGAGCCTGTGCTTAAAATAAACCAATGGAGTATCAAGATTATGCATGAAGAGAAAATATACTGAAACATGCATGTGCCAAGCTCAACTCTTCAGTTCCAGCATGTCCTCCTGCTGTGCTTGATGAAACAGCCAAAACCATGAATTCTGTGAACTGGAGTTCAGCACAAGCTGACACCATGCTTGGAGGAAGATACCAGCCTGGGAAGGCTGCTCTATTGCCTTCCACTCCCAATTAGCTTTTAGCTCTCTTCTATATGCTGTACTAATAAGTAAAAGCAGATCAACCATCTGTGCAATGGAAGCCACAGGAGAAGAAAAAATAGAAGGGTGTTTTTAAAATCTGTAGTCAGCTAGGCTATGCACTATTTCTGTAAACTGATAGCATGGAAAACAAGGTGGTAAATAAAGGATAAAAGGAATAAGAGAGGAACTTCAAATAATGGTAGAGTAACCTTTACAAATGAGCACTTGTATTGTTATGAACTTATCTGGATTGAAAAAACACCAATAACCCCTTACACTGAATGCCAAGCCAACCTCCAGATAACCCACATGAGACCGATTCAGTCAGCACTAGTGCAGATTTATAATGCTGCTGTAGAAGAGCTAAGGAATCATCTTCTAATTTGCTACATAGCACATAGTTTGGGAGATACTAGGAATGAAAGGCTATCCGTAATCACTACTCATTGCTGTCATACTCACTCTCATATTACCAGCTGATTTGTTTTAGTGGTTGAGGGGAGGCTCTATAGTCCTTCAGGCTGACCATGAAACTACACTGCTGGTTTCACGATATAAGGTCATAGATTGGCAGAATACTCTTAAGAACCACTCTTTATTACAAACTACTGGGGCAAGCCTATAAGCCCAACCTGTAACTTGTCTATATTTAACATTATATTCTACATCCCTGTGTGAGTTAGAGAACAATGTTAAGGACTTGTTAAAGTGCTCCAAAGATTAAAAGGCTGTTTTAAAAAAATCCTTCTGTGGTCTGCAATGGAAGGAAATAAATTTAGACCATCCTTTAGGCTTGCCATTTTATTTGTTTTTTGAGTCTTGTCAAAGAGATGAGGTTGCTTTGAGAAAATCCTTAGTTTTGCATCCCCACCCCCAATATCCTCTTTGTGGGCTTTCCAAGGTCAGGATTTCCAGATCTCAATAAGAAGTAGCCCCCGAAATAGGAACAGAGGAACTATGTCAGATTCCTCTTCTCCAGTTTCAGAAGTCCTGCTGCTTTTGGAGGTAGGAATCCAGCCTATCCCGTGGCCCTGGAATGCTCTTATGAGATCCATAGGATTAGATTTATACTGGAAGGCACTGGCCACTCTGTCAGGCCAATGTACTTTACATGGTCTTGTTGTGTAGATAGAAAAGGAACCCTTATGTAATCTGCCTTGAGCACCCTAAAAAGGCAGGACATAAATCAAATGATGATGATGATGACGATGATGGCAGCCTGGTTTCATTTCAGTCAGCACTCTGTGGAGAATTCATTAATAAATAGTGGAAGGAATATCTCTGTCTTCTTAAAATCTCTTAAAGTGTCTCTGATGAATTGCAGCTCACGAAAGCTTATGCCTTATAGAAGTCATTTGTCTTAAAAGATGCTACCGAACTCTGTTCTGATTTCTGTTCTCTTAACTTTCTTTTCAAGAATCCTAGTAACTGTGTTGGACAAGAGTATTGAGCTTTCTCAATTAGAGATTTCTTAACAATCCTAACATCTCTGTTAGGAAATGAAACATTGTGTGATGTGGAAGCAGGTGTTAGGTCATTAGTAGGCAACCTGATGCCCTCCAAATGTCTCAACTCCCATCACCTCCAGCTGCCACGGCCAATAACAAGAGATTGTGAGAGTTAAAGTCCAAAACATCCGGTGACTCCTACAGTGCCTATCCCTGAGTGAGCTGAATATTTATAGGTAACAAAATAATTTTTTGAGAATTCAGAGTTTTTGAGAATTGTTATATGTGTTTCATAGGCACTCAGCTCCTTCAGCTGATAGAATGGCTTCCTATGAAGAGACACTTGTCCTCTCCCCTGTCCACTAATGTGATTACAAATCTGCTCTGAAGAGTTGGGAACTTTCCACAGCAGATCTGAGAAGCAGAGAAGAGAGGAAGGAAGTTACAATGTGTGACTAGAACTGTCCTTACACAAGGTATGATTTCACTTATTGCTTGTTTGTGATGAAAACAAGTATCTCATGCAAAGTCTAAGTAGCAGACTCGCCACAGTGATGAGATGGTAGAAGTGTTTTCACATCTACAGATGTACAGTTTTCTGGAAATATGACCTAATAGGGGATAGGGAACTTTTTTCCCCCCATTTTTCTCTCATTGATGGGCATAGAGAAATAACATCCAAAGTATCATGATAATTTTATGGTGTGTCAGAAGAACAAGGAGCTTTGGATCCCGACCTAAACCCTAACCGCCAGCATGTCCCATTTTTTCCCTTCTTCAGGAGAATATTACCAGCAGATCATTTACCAAGGGGCCTCTGATGGACAGATGTCAGCCTATAGTGGATTTCACAAGCAATACCATGCTCTCAACTTTTTCTCCATCATCTTCCTAGCAAAGTTAGGATTGTTCCTAGAGCTTGGAGAAATGGAAGCAACATGCTTATTAAATATATACCCTCAAGCCTAAATAAAGTAGCACTACATAAAGACTGAACAACGGATTTAAATCAGATGAAATGGTTATGCTAAACTGAGATTAGGATTTTTAAAAAAATCACAGGGAGCATCAGGATACCAACAGAAAATGAGAATTAATTATTCTGGTTCTTTCCTTGCCATGTGGTAATGCATCAAATGGCCACCAAAGTCACAGGGGCTTTCTCCTGGATAACTGAAAGCTATTCTGCTCCTTTTCACACTGGTGGCCAGGGCCTGGTTACTCTCAAGGACCTGATAATGCACCAGGTGAAATCATGCCCTAATTTATTTTGCTGACTTTTAGTGTCAACAAGTCAGCAAAATTTATTCACACTAACACTCAAGCCCTATTTGGGGAGTTCTTCATAAACATCCCAAGGGGCAGGTTCAGATCAAAATTCAGCTTTCGTGTCCTTGCCTTCAATTTTGAAAACCTGCCAAAAAGAAAATGAACCCCTAATGAATACATAAGCCATATACAGGGAAATTTGCTTCATTGTTTCTGTAATAATTAGATTTAGATTCATTACCTGAATCAGAACGTCTCAACAAATTATATTCTCAGGAGATGTGGAGTTCCCCTGAAGCTTCTGAGGGAGCCCCAAGATTTCCAGGAGTGCAGAAGCTATTTCAGAAAGAAAGCCATGCAGATGAAATTCCTCTAAATGGTTCCTTGAAGACTAAGCGTGCTCATGAGGACATAATGAGTTGGGAAAAAAGAAACGGACTGTGCTGTAATGTGGGTATATGGCACTGGTGGTTAAAGGTCTATAGCAGCCCAGAAGCTTCAGACATGTTCTGGTGGATCATCACTGAAATAAAATACTAACCCAGCTTCTCAAAAATATACTTATAAACATGTATACATTTATAAGAATTGTAAGAAGGTTATACAATTACAATAATGTATTTTAATATATAATGAACTTTTGCTTTTACAGGGAACCAGAATAAGCAAGATCTTGGAATCATAGAAATAAATTTAATAATTCAAGATGTCTCTCTTGACTCAGCCCCAGATTCAGGGAACAAATCCCAGGCTGTTTTCTAGTTATAAATTGGAATACTAAGACTATACATCGTAGGATTTTTGTGAAACTGAAATCAGGATTGTAATTCATTCTTCATGATTATTAATACTACAACTGAACATGCAGCATAGGTTTAAGAGGCATAGATGCTCTTTAAAAAAGTAATCAACAATTACTTTAATAATATAGGCCACCATAATGCTTTTCTTGATGTGTGGTATACAAAGAAAATGCAATCAGCATTAAATACATTTGTCTGCTTTATTCCTTTATCCTTTCTAAATGGTCCAAAGTGATGGACCTTTTTACAGAAGCTTTCCCATGCTTTCAACCTGCAAAGCATGGCCACTTTAGATTGTAGGGAGATGCTCCATGAAAGGTTCTAAAGATACGCAAAGTGAAAGCCAAAAGAAAAAAGAAAAAAAAAAAACCAACAACAACCTGCAATAAAAGAAAAATGTTTCTCTTAGGTGCAGGCTTTACGAAACAATTAAGCAATAACGAATGCATTAAGTAAATGACTGAGAGAGAGAGAGAGAGAGGGAGGGAGGGAGAGGCTGTGTTGCAGCACTATCAGAAAGAAGCAAAAGAACATCAACATCACTTTCAGAGTGTTGTCATTAGGCAACTTCCAGGGGCCTGAAGGTCGCATTCGACAAAGGGTGGGGTCAGTGCCCCTTGTGGGAGGGCTGGGAGCTTTGAACAGTGAACCTAGTGCCATACGCACTTCCAAGTCTTAGGAGGTGGAGAGCTGCGTTAGTTTAGGCCAGCAAAAAATCAGAAGTCTGGTAGGACCTTTTCCAACTAGCGCAGGTTATTAAAAGGCCGAAATGCACAAAAGCTTACGCCTTTTAATAGGTGTAAAAGGTGCTACCAAACTCCTTTTGGCTTTTTGTAAGTCATAATTTTGCCCATTAAACTTCCCCAGGCCTCCGAATTAAGAAATGGGATGCTGGTAGGCTCCGTTTGGCACCCTTTTTGCATCCCTCTATTACAGGGGAAAATACAAAAGAAAAAGGCAAGTATAGCATCCAAAAAGCACTCCAATTCATACTCATGTTGAGACTTAACACAAGGCAGATTTTGGGGACTGGGTCAATCGCCTGCTGGTACTCATTGTGTTCCATCCCATTTTAATTATACAAGACCAAAAGCCAGGGCTCCACTTTGTACAAGAGCACTAATGACATGTTGACTCACAAATAGCACATACAGTACTCCAAGGCCTGATGGGAGAAGCAGGCTATGAGCTATTTTTTTCACATACAGTGATTCATTTCCTATAAAAGAAAAAAAAAAAGACAGTTCCATCTGTTCTCAGCTCATAATTATTGAAAGAAGCATGATGCTGGTGATGATTTTGCATACGGAGGTGGCAAACCTCAGATATTACCTTTCCTTTGAAGCATCGATTTTGCTTTCGTAATGAAGCTCTTGATAGTGCCAGACTCACCTCTCTTAATTGACAGAAATGGGAGCCTGGGCCCTCCAGATATTGAATCCAAATACCCATCAGCTAAGCCAGTGTTTCTCAAACTTAGCAACTTTAAGATGTGTGGACTTAATTTGCAGGATTCTGGGAGTTGAAGTCCACACATCTTAAAGTTGCTAAGCTTGAGAAACACTAAGCTAACCCACTGCACAGAAAAATCGTAGTACAGCAACATCTGGAGAGCCACTGGTTCCCTACTTCTGGTTCATAGTAGTGACTCATTTACTGAACAGGCAACAAGATTTTGTGGCCTGCTGGGACAGAAGGTAGAGCTGACTGACCTAAGTATGGCAAAGAATCAGGGCTACATTCCTGCCTGCTTTTCCAATACTACTGTGTTTATTGCTCCCAGCTTAGCAGACTGGTTGGTAACTCACACCTAGAAAATGCGGGGCACCCTCTCATAGTATTATCAGCTGCCCTCTTTCCTGAAAGATGAGAGGTTTCAACAGCACAGTATACCAGTATTTGTCTTACCAGTGTAGGAAGAGATCCCAGAGACATAGCATAGCTCATGTCTTGAAATACTTGATTTATGAATGCAACTACGTCCAGTCATGTAGGCAGGTAGGGCAGTGGACTGCTGGGGAAATTTCCCATGAGTATAAGCCCTCTTCTTCTGCAATGCAGATGATGATGATGATGATGATGATGATGATGATGATGATGATATTGAGCTGCTTTTATGGATGTTTTTAGTTTTGTATATTATAAGCCACCTTGAGTCATGTGAGTAGGCAGCATACAAATGCTGATAGGTAGATAAATAGATAACATTTGCTGTCATTAGATGTGATGATGGCTAACAATTTAGACTGACTTAGAAAGGGTACTGGAAAAATCATGGAGGGCTAGGCTGTCAAAACTATTAGTCTGGATGGCATAATAATAATAATAATAATAATTAATATTATTAATATGGTCGGTCACACAGTCAGCCAGATGTTTAAACTGGATCTGGCATTTTTATCCACCTATTGAGTCCTTCCCAAGGATC